GGCCCCAACAGCGGCCCCAGACCTACATCCCGGCCTCGACCCTGCAGGTGCAGAAGGTTCAGGAGCAAGAGCCGAGGAAGCAGCAGGAGCAGCCGCAGACGCGCCCATGGAGGAGGAGGCAGGAGAAGAAACGGTCAGTGTTCTTGCTTCCAGAGTCTCTCATGGGGTACGGGACGTCGCAGCTCGTCATCCCAAGCAGTGCGGTGCGGCTATTCCTCTCATCTCCTCCCTCAAGAAGTCCTCTGATAAGGGCAAGGCCATGGGAAAAGGAAAACAGGGGCGTGGGGGCAGCGGAAACGGAAAAGGAAGCGACGAGGGTGACCTCCAGGCCCTCTTGGAAGAAGCCCGGGTCCTCGCAGAGTCCGCCCAACCATCCACCCCAGGTGCAGGTGCGGCCGCAAGCGGCCCTAGTGGAGGTGTCGGGGGCGGCCCGCCCCAAACCCCAGGCATCCCCCCACAACCCGTGGAGGGCAGGGGTGCTGGGTATCTACTTTGATCCGGCAGGCCTCCCAGGCAAGGACGCTACTAGCTGGCAGTGCAAAGTGGTTACTATAAATGTGAATTCGTGGAATACTTTCAAGCATGACATCGAGTCGGATAGAATTCTCCAGTATCACGTCCTTTTGCTCCAGGAGACCCACATTTCTTCGACAGATGATATTCGGAGTGCAGTGGAGTTCAGCATGGCACGTGGATGGCATGGAGTCTTCTCTCTCTCGGAGCGCCTCGAATCTGGAAAGTTTTCTGGGGGAGTCGCAATTCTCGTTCGGATGGGGATGAACTTCGGGATCCAGGACATTGATTTCGAGTACCCCTATAGACACCGAATCCTTGCCATCAAGCTTGAAATTGAGAATCTGGGTCGTTTTCTGATCTGCAGTCTCTACTTCGAGCCCAGCACGGGCCTAAAAGAGGTCAACATGAAGTTGCTTGGTGCCGCCGGCAGTCTCCAGGACAAGTTTGAGTTGCCGCTGTTAGCAGGAGGGGATTTCAACATGGCTTCGAAGCAGCTGCTCTACTTAGACTTTCTGCACCGAGCTAGTCTGACCCTCTGCGTCCCCCAGAAGTTCACCTATTCAACTAGCAAAAGTAAGACAACCATCGATTTCTTCTTGCTGTCAGCGGCCATCAAGAGCCAGGTGGAGGGAATCGAGTCGGCGACTGACTACCCCCTTTCACCTCACCGACCAGTCATTCTCTCCCTAAAGGTCAATGCTTTGGAAAAGGTGCCAGTTTTCGTATTGCCGCCTCAGCTTCCCACCAGGAGACCCTTTGGGCCAGCACCAGAAAGTGCAGACTGGGAGGATCTTGACCGCCTTTTGGATGTAACTTTGGACACTATCCAAACTAACCAACTCCCCCAAAAGGAAAGCCATGGTTTACTAGATGCTGTGTATGGTCTGTTCGTCAAGCACTTCGAGCATGCCGTTTGTCTGAAGACGGATACCCCGACACCCAAATCTTCCAGGAGAGGGCAGTATCCTAGAGTAAAGTTTGTCCCAGTGCAGGCGGTGCATAAGAAAGCGAGGAAATCTTGGGCTTCACTCGTCAAGCCAATAACTTGGCTCCAGAATTTCTTGCAACATCTGCTGAGACATTTGGCAGCGGGCCCTGAAGTATCCAGAGATTTCGTCGACCATGTTATTTCTGAGTTCTCTGAGGCACCGCAAGAGTACCAATCGGTACAGACCTTAATTGCAGTGCACGCTGACACCAAGGCTCTTCTCACCGCCTTGGCCACAGACGTCCGGGCAGGGAGCTGTGGTTCAACAGTACCCAGGGATATATTCACGAAGCATTATGCCGACATCGAGCTAATCATCCAGAAGGAAAAGGATGTTGAGAGGAAGGGATCGGCAGAAGCATGGAAGGAATGGGTGCGAGAAAACCTAGAGGGCATGCCTTCGGGGTGGGTCCACAGGTGGACTAAACCGACCGATTTCTGGAAGCCTACGTCCCCCCAGGCCCTACTTCCTTCGGCAAAGCCTTCGGCCCTGCTTGAAATGGAAGCCCGGCGTCTAGAAGGCATCTGGGAGTCCACGTCCACACCGCCAACACCCTTTGAGGCCGACCCATCAGATGCAGCGCAGCTCCCAGAAATATCAGTGGAACAGTTCATGAGGGTGACCAGGATGTTTTCCCACAAGACCAGTCAGACTTGGGACGGCTTCCACCCGAGGCACTACGGGCTCCTCGAACCAGAGCAGGTTTTGGTTACCATCAAGCTGTTTCAGTTAATAGAGAGAGTGGGTAAGATGCCAAGTGTGGTGCTAGCTCTGTACACCACTCTCATTCCCAAGCACAAGCCTGATGATCGAGGTCAAAGTTTTCGTGGAATCGGTTGCCTTCCCAGTCCTTACCGGATATGGTCCAGGTTACGGCAACCTGTCTGTAGAGAATGGGAGGCCAGGAACTTCGACCCCCTCATGGCCCACCAGTCTGGCAGATCAATTCTAGAGGTCGTCTACCTGCAGTCATTGGCAGCTGAATCCACGACCTTGTCCAGGAACATGTTCTCGGGATCCTTCCTATGGGACCTCAGTAACTATTACGAGCATGTCTGTAGAGAACTTGTCTGGTCGAGGGCCAAGAAGTCCCAGTTCTCCCTCACAGTATTAGCGGTGGTACTCAATCAGTATGGGTCCAGGAGGTTCTTGAGTTTCTCAGGCCTTGCAGTAGAACTCCAGTATCCTCACTTCGGGATCGCAGCGGGTTGCTCATTTGCTACCTTCATCGTGCAGGTGTATTCCTTGCCTCCGCTACGAGTGTGGCAGAGGCGGCACCCGACAGTTATTGCGACGATGTTCATCGACGATCTCCATGGTAACAACACCAGCGACAGCCGGCAGAAAGTGGTCAATCAGCTAACGGCAGCGGCGGCGGATCTGTCCAGCATGATCCAGCACGAGTTGGAGTGCCAAGTCGCCCAGCGCAAGTCGGTGATCGTATCTTCCTGCCCCAGGCTCACGGAAATGTTGAAAACGAATTTCGGAAAGTACGCTGGCAGGGCCCTCTCATCAACGCCCAACTTGGGAGTTGATTATTTCTGCGGGGCCAAGAGAGCCAAAAAAGCGAAGCTGCTAGCGGAACGTTTTTCGAAGCTCAAGAAACGTGGATCCAGGCTCCGGGCTCTGAAGAAAACTGGAGCCCCTTTGAAGAAACTTTACGTGTCAGGTCTTCAGGCCTCAGGCTTTTACGGTGCAGAGGTCGCGGGGCTCACTTCCCCGGAGCTGTGCAGCCCAGACGCATTACATCTCCCTCGTCGGCAGCTCCTGCAAGAGCCGCTCACGCAGCATATCAATGGCAGTCTTGGGTGACCCACTCTGGAAACAGGGGCTGGGTCCAGCTATGCAGTGGGCCACGATTGTATGGAAGTCAATGAGCAATGGGAGGTTCAGATCTATCCACCCTCTCTCCGAGCTGGGGCGTCTATTTCGTGAAGTCCTTCAGCAGCCTCCTGCAAACTGGGGGGGAGTGAGAGGACCAGCAGGTGCAGCAATCTTGAGCCTGAAGCGAATCGATTGGCAATTCGTATCCCCGTTCGAAATAGTCACCGATCTTGGATACCGATACGCTCTAACCGATACCGCTCCCAAGATGATCCATGAGCTAATGCATGCTGCCTGGAATCGCCGAACGAACAGGTTGGCCGCCGACAAGCTAGGAATCGACCGATCGGATCAGCTCGATTCGTCTGGTATCCGATCCCTGTTAGCGTCAGCGGAGCTCTCGGCTAGACACAGGAATTTGCTGAGGGAATTCTCCTGCCAAAGTATATGGACAAAGCATCGTTTATGGTGTCTTGGTTATGATACTGATTCGTCGTGTCTCTGTGGTAACGTGCGCGACGATATTCACCATCGGCTGTTCACGTGCCCTCTTACCCAGCATGTGCGTGATGAGTTATTGTCAACAGAAGATCTGGATATTCTTACCCAGCCAGATGTGGTCTCTCATCAACTGTTAGGCTTTCAAGTGTGCCCGTCTTTCCAAACAGTTCCCCATGAGGGGATTGGACACGAAGAGTACGAATGGTGGTCTGCAGACGGATCGCCTCCTGAAGTAGCGCTGAGGGGTGTAGTCTTCTCTGACGGGTCTGCCTACAAGGATGGGCACAGATTCTTTCACCGGGCGGGTTGGGGACTTGTGAAGCTGTCCGATAGTGGCGAGGTCCTCGCCAGGATGCGCGGCAGAGTAGGTAACCTTCTGCCCCAGAGTAGCCCAGCAGCTGAGCATGTCGCAGTGTTGGCAGCTGTAACATACGCACCGCTAGTAACAGAAATTCGAGCAGACTATAAGGGAGTGGTTGGCTTGCACTCCCAGCCTCGAGAGACCCTCCTGTATAGGAAGTCGTTTTACGCAGGAATCAAGATGCGTATAGTAGGACTCTCCGCTAATGGTGTTGCCTGCTCTAAGGTGGCTGCCCATTTAGATCCCTCGTCGTTCCCTGAAGGCTCAGCTGAATGGTTTAATGCCGTGGGAAACGACGAAGCAGACAAAACTGCCAAACTAGGTGCCAATTCGCACTTACAGCCATCGAGTGCCGAGGCGGAAGATCAGGCAAAGACTACCAAAGCTTTGGAGTCCTACCTTAAATTCGTCGCTAGAGCTCTAGAGGTTTTTCCAGCGCTGCCCAAACCCCGTGGCCGGAAGGGGTGCCGCTCCAGATTGAAGAGAGCGGGGCCTCGATGGGAGCGCAGGGCAGTGTACAGCTACCGCGACGAGGTTTTGGGCAAGTATAGACCAGCTTCGGCTGGTACGGCTTCAGGGAATGGGGTCAATTCGGCAGGCGGGGGTGCTTCTTCCTCCTCCGCCCCACCTCCGCCAGCCCCATTCCGCCCTCCACCTCCTCCCTTGGTGCCGGCAGGAGCCACCAACAGAGAAGGTGTGCTAAGGCCCGCTTCTTCGGTCACGCAGGCGCCTCAGCCTGAGGTAGCAGGCCAGGCCCAGAGCCACAATTGGAAATGGATTAAGCAGAATATGTGGTCCTGCCGCGTCTGTTACACCAGATGCAGGGCAGAGTACCCGCCTCAGACCACAGCGTGTACAGGATACAACGCCGCTTTCAGCGCAATCGCTGCCAATCCGCGCAACCACAGAATTTATATTGCTAGTTACAATGAGGATCACTTAATATTTGTGTGCTCCTCCTGTGGATGTATCTGCCAGGGCCGGCGAGCAGTAGGGCTTACAAAGCCTTGCAATGAGAGGTTCACCAGCCATCATAACAAGTCTAATTGGGACAGGATGTTCCAGAGAAAGCACCCAGACCCCTCCAAAGGAGAGGCTAAGGTGCTGGACGAACTGCTCCCCCTCAGCAGTTTGTTTTAACGGGTTTCGAAAGCAACTGTCTCCCCCCTTCCCTCTCGCCTTCCTTCTTCTCTTTCAGTTGCGTTCTTAGCCTTTCTTTCCAGACCGGCACGAACAGACGGAGGCGGAAACGTTTGGGTGGTTTTGACTGGGGGCTGGGTGAGTCGGACGCTTAAGGACACTGGCACTGTCACGGTTTCCGCCCTGGACTGTCGTGGCCTAGATGTTTTGTTTTCCTGTAGCGCTTCTGTCGCTCGCCAGTTGGTTCTAGTTCTCGAACCCAGCGCTGAATCCGAGTCCAATCCAATCCTCCTCCTCCTCCTCCCCTCCCCCTCGCCCTCCACGTCCTCCACGTCGACCCTCCCCCCATCCCATCTTCCTGCTCCCCGTCGTCCTGTTTAGCCTTGACAATATCATCATCATCGTCCCTGGCCCTTTCTGCCCCTCTTGATCCTCATCCGTTGCGCTGTCCATTGCAGGTGCCGTTGGCCCACGAGATCTGTGGCGGTGCACCACTGTTGCAATAGATCGTTTACGAGTGCACGACATGATGATGCTCTCTCTTGAGTGTGGTCGCAAGTTCGGCTGCAAGAGATGGACGCTTGCCACGTCGGCAGGCGCACATGGCGGTCGCGTGCCTCGAGCGCCGCAGCGCCAGCGAAAGGAAAAAAGCAAGCGCTTCCACCTCGCAGCCGTGTAATCGGCTGGGCCCCAAGAGGGGTCAAGGGAAGCAGAGGGCTGGTGATAATGATGGCACGGCACGCGGCGTCAAGCAGGCAACCGAAGAAGCTTGCCGCAGTCTTCCTCCGCTCCATTGCGCTGTCGAACGAGGCGGCCGCACGGTGCCTCCTGCAGCGGCTGCCGGGCGGTCAACTCAAAGAGCGGCAGGTGGGCTGGCTGCAGCACCGAAAAGCCACAACTCGAGGAACAGCGACAACATATCAACCCCGTGAGTGATCCCCAAACGGATGCAAGACTCTGAGTTCTGCCGGGAACAGGGCATCCAACAACTGGTTCGGGAGGACAACCATAAAAGGGGCCCTGGGACACACAAATAAATACACACAAATAACAAATGCCCCATATGTTCCTATATGTTCTTGGTTTCTGTCTTCCCCCCCACTTCCCATATGTTCCCATATTTTCCCAGGAATCGATGATTGATTGTGTCTGTGTGTGTTTTCCCCCTCCTGAAACCATCTGTTCCTGACGGGCGCGGAGGCAGAAGCAGAGCTGGCACGAAGTTCAAGCGTGGCCATCTCCCACTCGCTGCAGCACGCGCAGCACGGGGAGACCGACACGGAGAAGGGACGGGAGCCGCCCCTCCGCGGCAACGAGGGGCAGCCATCGCAACATCGAGATGTCGTCGCGGTTGGACGTGATTCGGGTCGGGCGAAAGGGGGGGATAGCAAAGGGGAGGGTTGAGAATCAGCTCACGTAGCTGACTTTCCCGGCGCCTCCCGGCGCCGGAGGCGGCCATGTATCGAGGACTGGGCCCCTCGGTGAGGCCGAAACCAGCTGCATGCAGCGAGTTTCGTAACCCCGCCTTTCCCAATCCCCCCCTTCCGCCCGGCCCGAGTGGTGCTGCCGAAGCAGCTGGCCAGACACTCCATCCATGACGAGGTCCAAGAATGGCGGGAGGCTGATGGTAAGCTGCGGCCGGGAGGTCGAATGCTCAGGCGCGCGCGCGCGCGCCATCTGTTGACCATTCTGCCGCTCGTGCACGGTGGTGGGGCGCCCACCCTGGTGCGCCCACAGCGACGCTGTACTTCGACGTCGCTGACGAGGAGGACGACGGCCAGGGCGAGAAACAAACAGAGCACCGACGACCGCATGGGCGGGCCTGCTGATGGGCCGATACGGCATCGACTCCGAAGGCGCGGCACGGGGCGGCTCCACACCCGAGGAGGATACGGGAGCAGTGGCCTCAACGCACTCGGGGTCGCCGGCACAATGTGCAGCAGCCACGCCATCAACCAGTACGGGTGCAGCATGGTTGCGGGAGAGGGAGAGGGGAGAATAGGGGGGGAGGGAGGAAGGGGCGGGGGGGGGGATTACTCAGGAGGAGCAGGAAGAGGAGGAGGAGGGAGGAGGAGAACGGGATGAGGAGGAAGGAGGAGGAGGGAGGAGGAAGGAGGAGAAGCAAGGAGGGCCCTCCTCCTCCCGTTCCTGCCGCACGCGCCTGCTCGGCGAGGTAGCGCACGGGGAACAGCAGGCCCTGGTCCAGGCCGCAGCCCGCGGCGGCCTGGGCCCCGGGGGCCTGGCTGTCCAGCCAGGCGGGGGTGTCCCTGTAGAGGTCCTCGCGGGGCGCGGGGGGGCGAACGAGGGGAAATCCGTCCGCCCGAAGGAGGAGGTGGAAGAAGATGGAAAAACGAAAAGGAGGGACGAATGGAGAGGAGGGAGGGAGGAGGAAGATGTAGGAAGAGAAAGGAAGTGGAGGAGAAGGAGGAGGAGCAGGAAGAGGAGGAGGAGGAGGAGGAGGAGGAGCAGGAGGGAGGAGGGGGGAGGAAGATGATGACGAGGAAGGAGGGGGAGGGGCAGGAGGGAGGAGGAGGAGGAGGAGGAGGTGGAGGAGGAGGAGAGGCGCGCGGACTCGTGTACGTAACTACTCGCGCAGCAGAGCTGAACGACTCCAGCCTTCCAGGCCACGGCACCACCGGCGTCGACGCCTCGCTGCGCCGCGACTTTCCCGACCCGCGTTGACCGTTCGTTCCAGGGGCGACCGGCGCGCGCGAAGCCCGTCTGGTAGTATTTCTGGAGATGTATAAAAACGATGGGTCCCTTACGAATCCGCAAAAACGCGCACGTCTGTTGTTGCAAAACCGTGTTGCGAAACCATTTGATCTTATATGTTGTTTGGACACTCGATTCGGAAATCCTTCCGGAACCGAAGTTTTTTGAAGGATTTCGGCATGCGCGCAACGCCGCGCGCGTGTGCGCTTCGCCTCATCTGTTGCAACGGACTGTTGGAAACTAATGTTTTGGATAAACGAGTGTGCACGCATAGTAATTCATGAGAAACTGGGATGGTATGAGTTTGTATTTAGGAAGGGCGATGGGGAAATGTATGTTGCAACGCGAAAAGGTGTACCGATAAAGCCGGGGGGGTAGAGTCTAGTTTTTTCTGAGAAAGGAGAACCTATGTGGCGCAATCTATGCGACGGCGACGGCGGCGACGGGCGGCACCGCCCGCAAAAGCCGCCACTCGCCCCGAGCGGCGGCGACGGCGACGGCGGCGACGGGCGGCACCGCCCGCAAAAGCCGCCACTCGCCCCGAGCGGCGGCGACGACGACGGCGACGGCGACGGCGGCGACGGGCGGCATGGACGGCGACGGCCGCCCCTGCTCCCGGAGACGAGCGGCGGCGACGGACGGAGACGGGCGGCACCGCCCGCAAAAGCGGCCCCTGGTCTTGAGATGGTTAAGTCAAGTAAGAACACCTAAGTGCAAGCACTGCTTGGGGGAAAACGCGACGAACGACACGGTGAACAATCCTTTTTTCGCCAACGAAGAGCCAGCGGCCTCACGCCCACTCCCTGTCGCGCTGGCAGCCAAGAGACACTGCCTGGGCATGCCCTGGGTGGTTAGATGCGCGAGCTAAAGCAGAAACGAATCATAAGCTAAGCATCGGCCCATCTCTTGACGGGCTGACAAGGAAACGGCGAAGGCGGCGGGACGTCTCAGAAACCCCCTCGCGCCTGCTACAAGGTTTCTTGCGCCTCCCGGGAAGGCTCAGGAAATTCAACTTCTCGGAAGGTCGGGGGACCTCCGAGCCTTCTGAGAAGGCCCGCCCCCTCCTCGCTGCCCCCCCTCGCTCGCCGCCGAAGGCCTGCCTGTCAGCCTCCAGGCCGAAATTACACTAAATAAAACCCCGATCAGCGGATGGTTTTCGATGAGGAGATCGACCAGGAACCCGGGAGCCTGGGAATCCAAAACCCACCGACATCGGCCCGGAACCCAGAACCAGGAACCCGGGAGCCCGGGACCGGGCACCAGGGAACACAGCCTGCCACCAACCTCGGCGGGAGACTTTCGCCAAATCTTTCAACTTCCGCTATAGGACACCATCCGTGCAAGCACCGACTGGGGAAAAACGGCCCGTCCTGCCGCGTCGCGCCCGTGGCGCATATGCTCTCGACGCCGGCGCGCTGCCCTGCAGCGGGCGGGAGCGGGGAGCGCGAGCTCGCCTGGCGGGCCAGGCGGGCGCCTCATTCTTCCCCGAAGAGCAGCGGCCGCGGAAATCCGGTCGATGGCTTTGTGGCGGCCTCGTCGGGCACGGCACGCTGGGTCTCGTCAGACTGTCGTGGGGGGGGATCTGCTCCTGTGGGGACGGGGGGATCTGTACGTCTTCATGGGGGGATCTGCCTTGAGGGGAGGGTCTGCTTCTTGCGGGGGATCTAATTACTTTGTGGTGGGGGGGGAATCTGCCCTTCTTCAGCAGGGGGGGGATCTACATTTGTGGGGGGCCGAGCCGGCCTCGTCAAACAAGATTGTTCGGGGGTTTCGATGCTGGACCCGATGTTGCACCGCTCTTGGGAAGGGGCCGCGCGCGCTGTCAGACAGTTGTTTGACCCGCCCCCCGCTATTGTGAGATTTGGAGACTCGTCATATGTCGCCGCGCCGTTCGTCCTCGACGCGTCCAAATGGACGACGCCAACACCACGGCAAACCCACGGCAAGCCCTGCGGCCCGCGCCTCAAGTGGACGAGGCCCGCCACGCGGCAGAGCCACGGCAAACCCGCCGCGCCCGAGGCGGAGTTTGCCCTAGTGGCCGAAGCGCCCGACCCCAGACGGAAGGCCACGCGTCGGGACAAACATCGCGGCGACATGGTGTTCCTCGCGCTGCTCGCCTGCGTCATATGTGCGCTGCGAAATGGTGTGTGACGTTCTGCTGGCTTGCCAATTCTTATGTCACGTCGGCACGCCCGGAATTGGTTTGGCCACCAATACACCGAAACATTACCGTCATTGCATCGGCGTGTCCTGAAGAGGAAGCAGTAACGTAACGTTGTGGTTCGTCCGTCGATCGAGATTCTCCTCCATCGACAGTGATCCTCCTCATCCTTCTCCTCTATCGAGACTCCTCCCCGTCCCCCCCTCCTCCTCCTCCTCCTCCTCCTCCATCGAGATTGATGGTCCTCCTCCTCCTCCTCCTCTTCCTCTTCATTCCCCTCTTCCTCCTCCTCCTCCTCCTCCTCCTCCTCCTCCTCCTCCTCCTCCTCCTCCTCCCTCTCCTCCTCCTCCTCCTGTGCCCCCGAGGTCCCGCGCGTACCACGGCCACATGTGCAGGCCGAGCGTGCCCAGCAGCAGCGCTGCGCCGGCGGGCGCCGCGGCCCAGTACGGCGGGAGGAGGGCGCACACCTGCTGCGAAGTGTTCGCCGCCACAGGGAGGGGAGGGGAGGGAGAAGGAGGGAGGGAGGGAGGGAGGGAGGAGGGAGAGAGGAGGAGGGGGGAGGCGGAGGCGGAGGCGGAGGAGGGAGTGAGGGAGGGAGGAGGGATGAGGGAGGGAGGGGGGAAGGATGGGAAGAAGTCTGTGTGGAAGAGGGGTGGGGAGGGAGGAGGAGGCAGAGCTCACCCGATGGAGGAGGGAGGCCGAGTAATTGGGGGGAGGACCAGCGCAAGCTCAAGATGCATCGACAATGCTGAGAGACACCCTCCCGTCACAGGCCCCCGCTTCAGAAGACCCTGCAGGCCTGCCTCTTCGCCACCAGGAGGGCCCCCCCCCCCTTTTGAAGACCAGCGCGCCGTGGGCCTGCCATGCGGCCGAGAGCCCCGTCTTGAGAAGGAGCCACCCTGCATCCCTCTGGTGGGCATCAAGGAGCGCGAAAGGTGTGATCATCCGAGGTCACGCTAAGGGCGATGGTGCTTGACGGTGATGCTTTAAACCGAACTGTAGGAAATCACGAACCACACTTTCTTCACTGTCAGATCTGCGGATGTATCGAACGAAGACGGCACAACAAGTTACAGGAAAGCACGAACCGCGCGTTCCCACAATACCGAAACCTACCTCGCTGTTACCTGCATCGCCGTCAGCGCGTCTACGGAAAACAGAGCCCAAGGGGCTTGCATCACAATCTGCTCTCATTTCCAAAACAATGTCCACCTCTCCGTGCAGCTGGTGCACACTGTTACTCCCTTCTGGCCGTTGAGCTTCGAGGAAGTTTCGGGTGAGAGCCCCCATTTCAAAAAAGGAACCACGCTCCATGCGTGCAGCCATGACATAAGTTCAACATGATGGTCTTATAGCGGAAGGGAGGTCTCGCGCGAGAGTCACAGCTAAAGAACGAGCCGCCCACCACCCCCGTAGCTATTCAACACGATTAGCACGAGCGCGTGCGGTGCTAAAGCAAGCGCACGTGTGAAAACGAGTGTGCGCGGCTCTGAAGCGAGAGCGCAAGTTTGAAAAGGGCACCGCCCGCTACCCCTTTAAGTGCTGCAAGCGTTAAAAACGAAGGCGCTCGTCACTAGAAATCGACAGCCATATGTTGAGCACAAACCTTTCCATCCCTGTAAATGCTGCAAGCGTCATGTGCTCGATTCTGAATCGAAAACCACATTTTGAAAACGCCCCCCCCCCCCCAACCACCCCACCCCACCCCCCCCCCGTCCACATTACCGCTGCAAGCCTTTAAGACGAATGTGCGCGGCGCTAATGCAATGCGCGAGCCCAATTTGGAAAACGGCCCCCTCCATCCGTGCGAAAAGTGCAAACTTGTAGAACAAATGCACGCGAAGCTAAAACGAACATCACTTGGAAAAAGACACGACATCCATCCGTGTAACCGTGACGGTTCTCATGGTTCAGGATCATGGTTGGTGAGAACTTCTTAGGCGAAGCGCCCAGCCTGCCCTACCAACATGTCTGGGGGCGCAACAAGGAGGAGTTCTCTACAGAGAAGTTGGATGAAGGAGGCGGAGGAAGAGGAGCCAAAGGAGCCGAGGGAGTCCAGTGGAGCCGATGTCTAGAGCCCACAGGCCCGCCAACGCCAGGCGGAGCAGGGGGGAAGGATGAGGAGGAGGAGGAGAAGGAGGAGGAGGAGGAGGAGGAGGAGGAGTGGGGGAACGTGGGGGAGGCGACAGGGGAGCAGCATGGGGGGAGACATGAGGCAGAAGGAACGACAACGAGGGACAGGAAATCCGCTTTCGACGACCACAGATCGAACCTGGGGCTCCTCCTCACTATACATTATCATCCCTACTCGTTCCTCCCTCCTCCCCCCTCCATCCTGCATCATGCGTCCTGCCTCCTCCCTGCTCCATCCTCCCCTGCTCCTTCTCCTCCTCCTTTCTCTCCAACCTCCACCTCCTCCTCCACCTTCTTCCTTTCCCTGCTCTTCCTCCTCCACCTCCTCCTCATCGTCATCACCATCATCAGCATCATCATCATAATCAGCATCATCAGCAGCAGCGTCATATCATCATCAACATCATCATCATCAGCTTCATCAGCATCATCATCACCACCATCACCATCACCATCACCATCACCATCACCATCATCATCATCACCACCACCACCACCATCATCATCATCATCATCATCATCAGCATCATCATCGTCATCATCATCATCATCATCATCATCATAATCATCATTATCATCATCATCATCACCATCATCATCATCAGCATCATCATCATCATCATCGTCATCATCATCATTATCAGCATCATCATCATCACCATCATCAGCATCATCATCATCATACTCATCATCATCATCATCATCATCATCATCATCATCATCATCATCATGTTTATCCGTATCCTTATCATCATCAGCAGCAGCAGCCGTATCATCATCATTATCAGCATCCGCATCATCATCATGATCACCAGCATCATGAGCAGCAGCACCATGATCATCATCATCAGCATAATCATCATCCTCATGGCCACCAGCATCCTCATCATCATCAGCAACAGCAGCATCGTCATCATCAGCAACACTAGCCGCATCAACACAATCATCACCATCAGCATCATCATCATAATCATCAGCAGCAGCATCATCATCGCCATCGTCAGCATCATCATCATCAGCTATCGCCATCATCATCATCAGCAGCAGCAGTATCAGCGCCATCGTCATCACCGTCATCATCAGCAGCAGCATCATCAGCATCATCATCATCATCAGCAGCATCATCATCATCATCATCATCATCATCATCATCATCATCATCACCATCATGCTCTCCTCCTCCTCCTCCTCCTCCTCCTCCTCCTCCTCCTCCTCCTCCTCCTCCTCCTCCCCCCCTCCCCATCCCCCATCCCCCTCCTCTCCCCCATTCGTCCTCCCTTCCTCTGCCTGTTCCCACCATCCTTCTCCCGCGCCGTCCCTCCCCCGCCCTCTCCTTCCCTCCCCCTCCCCCGCACTCCCTCCCTCGTCCCCGGCGAGGTGGGGCAGGGAAGAGGAAGAGAAGGCTGAGTGGGCAGCGGCCGCAGCGACAGTCTCCCGACCTTGTGCAGGGGCGTGACCGTGCCGAGGACGAAGATGGGGAACGTGGCCACGGCCCTGCCAAGGTGGAAGTAGGGCGGTATGATCCACGCCGGGTATTTGCCCCGTGTCCACAGATCTGGCCCGGAGGACCTCGGGCAGCGCCGGATGTGACGATTGGAGCGGAGAAGTCTGCAGATCCAGCGCTCCGCGAGATCCTCGGGGGCACGTCTCCAGATCTGAGTGACATGGGGACCATCCCTGGCGCGGAGATAGGAAGGTAGAGCCCAATGCACGCGGCGATGGCCTGGAGTGCCTCATAGGAGTCAGGGCTGAGGGGTCTGATCCGACCCACTTCCGTTTCGCCTCATGTCCAGTCGTCGGGAAGCGGGTTGAGGGGGGGGCGAGGACGAGGAGGACGAGGACCAGTGTAAACCCAAGACTTCTCAACGATGCTGGAAGAAGCCATCCCTCCAAATTCCTTCTTCACAAGCCCTTGCAATAATATATCTTCATTGGGTAAGTGGCCCATTAGAAGACAACCGTCGGAGATTCATCAATCGTGCCCACACACGTTTCCTGGGACTTCAACGCCGCGGGTCAACGTGACTGTTGCGTCCTGACAATCCTCAATCGTGCCCACACACCATGCCTGGTACTTCAACACCGCGAATCAACGTGACTGATGCGTCCTGACCTCCCTCAATCGCGCCAGAGCACCATTCCGGGGACTTCAACCGTACGAATCCTTGGAACTGCTGCACACTTTCAGAGAGAATGTGCGCAGCTGTAAAGCGAGAGCCACATTTTGAAAAGGAGCCGCCCTTCCATCTTTGAAACTGCTGCACACTTTAAGAACGAATGTGCGCGGTGCCCAATCGAGAACAACATGTTGAACACGACTCGCCGTCCATGCGTGAGACTGCTGCAACATGTTGAAAATGATGTACGCGGCGCTCAGGCGAGAACCACATGTTGAAAACCACCCGCCCTCCATCCGTGAAACACTTGGGAAGCTTTGAAAGGAATACGCGCAATGTCAAGGCGAGAAACACCTCTTGAACACCAGCCGCCCTCCATCCGTCAAACAGTTGAAAGCTTTAACATACAGCGAATGTGCGCGGCACAAAACCGAGAACCACCTTTTGAAAACCACCCGCCCTCTATCTGGGAAGCTGTTACACCTGTGAAACCTAAAGATCATGAAATGATGAGGATGTCTCAGGCGAAACACCCAGCCCGCCGTAGCGACACGTCTGGGGGTGCGACAGGGAGGAGTTATTCAGAAGGAGCGAGGATGGAGGGAGGAGGAAGAGGGAGGAACCACAGGAGGAGGCAGGTAGTACGAGGGGAGGGGGCCAGGTCGACCTCCTTCTGCGAGACGAGGACTTGTACGCATCCACCGCTGGGGGGAGCCGATCTCCCCGGAACCCAGGGTGGCGACGGTTGTGGACACATCTGGGACACCCGAGGGGGGTCGAACAAGGCCACCACCCCCTGGGTTCTAGGAAGAGTTCCCGGGATGGTGGACGTGCACACGTCGCAGCCTCGAGCCATCTGCCCCTGGCCCCGTCTGGAACCCTCCACATGGTAGCGCTGACTAGGCGGCGACCGGGGCTGTCGGGCATCGCCCACAGCAGAGCAAAGTTGAAAAGCTTCCACACCACCAGGGACTGCAAGAACCACTGGATGCCGCCACCGTTGTCCAGCAGCTGGCCGGCCCCGTACCTCAGCACAGACGCCCAGCCGTCTGGGAAGAAGGCGGCGAGGTCTGGCTCCGGCTTTTTGAGAACCGACTCCGAGAGAGGCATGAAGATGAAGGACCAGAAGACCAGGGGCATGAACAGCTTGAAGAAGACAGCCTTGAAGGCCTCGGCGCTCGGAGGCTGCCTGGACAGAAGCCCACTAATGAAGCAGTACAACTTCACCACGGCGGGGAACATGCTGACCAACTCTGTGGCCTCGCGGACGTCATGGGGCCAGCCGTCAGAGTACCACAGCGTGGAGTCAAGCATGTGTGTCAATACGACGAATATTTGCAACATGCATCGCGAATTATCCAGCAGCACGATCCGCTGTCCCTTCTCAAGGCCCGACGTGGGGACAGCATCAACTCTCCTCTTGAGCCGCCACGTACCGACGGCGGTGAGCGCCACGATCACCAAGCAGATCAAGTCAGTGATCCAACTGCAGCTGTAGCGGAGCATCGCGTGCAATGAGTGTGTTCCTGATGGCCTCTGGAGGTCCAGCGCAGCTCCCAACAAACACCGTGCGTTAATTAGCCCAGAGAGGCTTGAACAAAGAACGTCTGCAGCACGCAGGCATATACGCTCGACATCGCAGAATGCAGCGTCGTTTGGTGTCTCTTCGAGGACCACTCCCGCTCTGACCGACGTGTCCCCCCCCCTTACCTGTCCTCCGCTCCTTTACCCCGCCGTCGCCCCTTCTCTCTCCCACTCTTCTTGTTTGACATCGTCTTCCTCCTCCTTCTCCTCCTCCTAGCCTCGTCCTCCTCCTAGCCTCCTCCTCCTCCTCCTCCTCCTCCTCCTCCTCCTCCTCCTCCTCCTCCTCCTCCTCCTCCTCCTCCTCCTCCTCTTGCGCTCTTACACTCCTCCGCGGTCCTCGTGTGCACACGAGACGCCCGCCCAACAGCGAAAATGATAGGCAGAAACGCCCCCCCCCAAACCGGGGCCTCCACTGCCGCCCTGCGGTTCGAGCGGTCTCTCCCATGCTTTAGGATTTCTGCTCCTCCTCCTCCTCCTCCTCCTCCTCCTCCTCCTCCTCCTCCTCCTACTCTTCCTCCTCCTCCTCGATCCTCCTCCCCCGAGGGGTGAGGTCCTGCCTCGTGCCTGTTTCCCTTCTTTCCCGGGCAGCGGTCGTCACCCGGGGAGGGGGGTCCCGGGCCAGAGGGTGATGGTAACAGTGGCCGCGGCGTGCACCGACCAGGGTCCACGCGGCGCCACCGGCGCATCAGTCGCCTGCGCGCTCCAAAACATGTCGGGTGGGTCCCGCCCCCCTCCCCCCAATCCTCGACGGCGAGCGAGGGGGGGAAATGAGAAGGAGAAGGCCTTCTCAGAAGGCGGCAGGACTTCTCAGAACCCTCGCGCCTTCTGAGAGGTCGTCTGCGTCTTCGGGGAAGGCTCAGAAAACTTCTCCGAAGGTCGGGGGACTTCCGAGCCTTCTGAGATGGCCTTCTCCCTCTCACTTCCCCCCCTCGCTCGCCGCCGAAATACAACCATTGGCGTTGCCTGGGGTGGGGGGGTTTGGCCCGGGTAAGGGGCGTTACCCTGGCAAAGGAAAAGACCTTCACCTCGTGGCGGCGCGCACCAGGGGGCGGAGGGAGGGGCGACGGCTTCTTCGAGGTAGGCTGCCTCCCAGAAGGCGCCGGCCTTACTTCTACAGATGAGGCCCGCGCCTTCCAAGATCCGCCTCCCCCGAGAAGCGAGGCCCGAAAACATTGGTCGGCGGTCCTTCGAGCAGGAGATCGACTGCAGAACTGACTTACCCCACCACCGAATCTGCGCAAACAGATGTAGGAAGGATGCGTAGGCTTGCAAACCTGATGCGTACTGCTTCGTAGACGCAAGGAAATACCTTTGGGGCAGATCGATTCTGTAGCCGATCTCCTGCTCGAGCCCCCCTCCCCTGAGATCCTGGCGCCTGGAACTCTGGCCACGACGCGCGTGTTCGCCCGCCCAGCTCCGGGCCCCGAGGGCCTCTCACAGGCCCACCCGGCTGACTACCTACCAGACCACCCCAACCCAACCCGAATTCCCGAATTTGACCCGAATTCCGGGTTGGGGAGGGGTACGGGTCCCATGTGTTTTTTCAACGTTCCCCGACACCCCCCCACTGGAAATGGAGGGCAAATTGAGGCCTTCGGGTTGGGTTGGGGTGGTTTGGTAGGTGGTGAACACGGGCGCAGAAGAACGGGGCCCGGAGCTCCGGTCGCGATTTGGTTGCGACGTTGCAGTTTTGTCGCAACGTCGGATCGCAGGGTCCCCAGGAGGCCTCCCAAACGGGGTCCGAGCCGATGGGGTCGGAAGATCGTGCCGCATCGCCGTTACATCGCCGACGCATCGACGATGGAAGACGGGGCCCTGAGCTCCAGTCGTGCTTTTTGTTGCGGTGTTGCAATGTTGTCGCAACGTCGGATCGCAGGGTCCCCGGAGGCCTCCCAAACGGGGTCCGAGCCGATGGGGTCGGAGAATCGTGCCGCATCGCCGTTACATCGCCGACGCATCGACGATGGAAGACGGGGCCCTGAGCTCCAGTCGTGCTCTTTGTTGCGGTGTTGCAATGTTGTCGCAACGTCGGATCGCAGGGTCCCCGGAGGCCTCCCAAACGGGGTCCGAGCCGATGGGGTCGGAGAATCGTGCCGCATCGCCGTTACATCGCCGACGCATCGACGATGGAAGACGGGGCCCTGAGCTCCAGTCGTGCTTTTTGTTGCGGTGTTGCAATGTTGTCGCAACGTCGGATCGCAGGGTCCCCGGAGGCCTCCCAAACGGGGTCCGAGCCGATGGGGTCTGAGAATCGTGCCGCATCGCCGTTACATCGCCGACGCATCGACGATGGAAGACGGGGCCCTGAGCTCCAGTCGTGCTTTTTGTTGCGGTGTTGCAATGTTGTCGCAACGTCGGATCGCAGGGTCCCCGGAGGCCTCCCAAACGGGGTCCGAGCCGATGGGGTCGGAGAATCGTGCCGCATCGCCGTTACATCGCCGACGCATCGACGATGGAAGACGGGGCCTGGAGCTCCGGTCGCCATTTTGCTGCGATGCTGCAATTTTGTCGCAACGTCGGATCGCAGGGCCCCGGGAGGCCTCCCAAACGGGGTCCGAGCGGATGGGGTCGGAGGATCGAGCCGCATCGCCGTTACATCGCCGACGCATTAAGAATGCAAGACGGGGCTCAGAACTCCGGTCGCGATTTTTGTTGCGATGACGCAACTGCGTCGAAACGTCGGATCTCAGGTTCTCTGGAGGCCCCCCAAATGAGCGACGATCAAAAGCGGGTCTCACGCGAGATGACGTAGCGATCCTGCGCCGCAGCGTACGCGGGCCACCAACGCGGCGCGCCACATTGGAGACGAGGGCGCTTACGCGCGACCTTACGCGGGCAGCTTACGCGCGAATGACGGTGCAAACGACCCAATATTTCTTGCGTCGCTCAATTGGGGTCGGAGAATCGTGCCGCATCGCCGTTACATCTCGCTGCGATCCTCCGGCCCCGTCCACTCGGACCCCATTTGGCAGGCCTGGACCCCCCTTGATTCTCGATGCTTTCCCCGTCTCCGTCCCCTCCCCCTCCCATTTTCCTCCTTCCTCCCCCGTCTCCGTCCCCGCCCCCTCCCCTCGTCCCCGTCCTCGCCTCCCCCCCCGTGTCCTCCCCTCCCCTCCTCCCCGCCACCCCCGTCCCCGCCCTCCTCCCCTCATCCCCCCTCCTCCCCATCCTCCCCGTCCTCTCCTCCCCGTCCTCTCCTCCCCGTCCTCGTCCTCCCCGTCCTCTCCTCCCCGTCCTCTCCTCCCCCCCCTCGTCCCCGTCCCCGCCCCCTTCCCCGTCCACCTCCTGCACAGCTTGCCAACCATCCGGTTGGCTTTGGACCCCGGCGCGTCGTCGGGCCGAGATGGGCCACCGACAGCAGAGCGGCGTGGCGCAAAACCACCGCCGGGGGAGGAGGAGGAGGAGGAGGAGGAGGAGGAGGAGGAGGAGGCAGGAGGAGGAGGAGGAGGAGGAAGCAGGAGGAGGAGGAGGAGAGGAGGAGAGGAGGAGAGGAGGAGGAGGGGGAGGGGAGGAGGGGGAGGAGGGGGGGGAGGAGGAGGGGGATGAGGTGGAGGAGGAGAAGGGGGAGGAGGAGGAGGAGGAGGAGGAGGAGGAGAAGGGAGCTCTGGGGCCACGGACTGAAACAAAAATATCCCTTATCTCCCTCTCTCCTTATCGATCCACGATCCTCTCTCCCCTCTTGGTACGATCCTCTCTTCTCCCGTCTCCCTTCTCTCCCTTCTCCCATCTCGAGCTGTCCTCTCTTCTCTCTTTCTCCCCTTCTCGATCCACGATCCTCGACCCCATGCGTTCGACATCTTGATCTCTCCAACACGGGGTCCCTACTAAGTGCACCAGAGAAAAAAAACGATCGGTGAATGGTCTGAGAATTCGCGATATGGATATTAAGATCGATTGTGAAATCGCTGGTGAGATCGATAGTGGGATCGATAGTGAGGGCGATAGCAAGGTAGCAAGGTCGATAGTGAGATCGACCGTGAGATCGCTCGTGCGATCTATAATGATCGATTGTGAGATCGATAGAGAGGTGGGTAGTAAGATCGATAGTGGGACCGATCGATGAGGAAGGAGATCGACCAATAACCCGGGAACCCAAAAACCGCGGAACCCCGCCGCCCACCGAAATCGGTCCGGAACCAGCGACCGGAAACCCGGGAACCCGGAACCGGGAACCCAGGAATCCGGCGGCCCACCGAAATCGGCCGTCCACTTTCGCCAAATCCTTTAAGATCTGCTAGGACCCCTTCAGTGCAAGCACTGATTGGGGAAGAAGTCCCGGCCCGGGCCGGCTTTCATCCCGAGCCGTTCTTGACGCCCCTGGTGGCCGAAGGCGGCCCCCAGACGCCGACAGCGGTGAAACACATCCGCCTTCCTTTTGCCCCAAGAGTCGGTGTCTGGGCACCACCCTCAAAAATCAGCCACTGGACCTCTCTGGGGGTGCATTCTGACCACGTCCACGCGGGTCCAGCCGTGGCGACGAGAAGCTGCCCGAAGGCACAATAAGTGGACAAACAGAATACAGCAAAACGACACAAAGCCCCGATCTTCAGGGAGAGAGGTCTCCTTCCCCCATGGGGGCGTGGGCCCTCCTCCTCCTCCTCCTCCTCCTCCTCCGCCTACCACCATCAACACCACCATCACCAACACCACTACTACTACTAAACACCACTGCTACTACTAGTACTACTACTACTACTACTACTACTACTACTACTACTACTACTACTACTACTACTACTACTACTACTACTACTACTACTACTACTACTACTACTACTACTACTACTACTACTACTACTACTACTACTA